CATGGAAAGTGGATGGTAAATGGCGTGGGGCTGAAACTTTGCGACCCACTGACCCATTTACTAACGAAAAGCATTATTAAACAGCTTAGTCGGAAAACGTTGTAGATTCATTTGGAACGAAGATAAAGATTCGTGCAATGAAGATGCGTGACGTTCGCGGAAACGTGGTTTCAACGCGAAACACTGTAGATATTTATATTCTCAATGCCAAATGTGCCGTGTATTCTTATGTACAAATCGCTTCTGTCGTCGTTTCCTGTTGCTTGTGTAACAGTTACGCTTGAATATAAAACGCTTGGAAATGAACGGCCGTGAATACAAAAAAGCCGCGGGTTCAGCGATTGTAATAGCCGCTCGATAAGCAACGACAGCTCGTTTATCAACGCTTCCATGCCATACATTTTATTAGCAAGAATAATTGCTAATGATACTAAGTATTACTTCCGTTTTCTTTCTATAATACCGATCATTTATTCTTTTGTAACAAAAACTGTCGACTAATTATTGTAATTGAGTGATTAACAGGAGAGAACACATGTGCGGCTGGCACAGTAGACACGCTTCAGTACGAGTTGTTAGGAATACTTTAAATGCCATTGACGCATCGAGAAGTAATTTTCTAATGTTTCAAATTAACGCTACAATTTTATTTTTCTTCATTTTCCTCGGTAACGATCGTTCTGTTAACAATTCTCGACACGGCGACGTCGCAATTTATAAAAATATGAATAATTGAAGCACCGAACGAGTGGAAAGAAAGCCAAGGCTCTCGTTTATTTAAACGGAAATTAAAAAGGAAATAAAGAATAGGAGGATTACTATTCTAAACGTTTCTGCCGGTAGTCCTTCTGAAAAGAGTCTGCACGCGATAAATCAAGCTTGAGATTCAAGGTAAATCTTCGCGAGGAGGATCGCCGGTGAACACTTGCCGAGGGTGGCGGTGTTTTTCATCCATTCTCGGGCTCGCCCTGGCCCGGATACGTTCCACGATGTCCCACATTTCGCGGCACGATGCTTACCACGATCTGGAGCAAAGGTGAGACCTCTTTTAGAGAACAGAGTCGTAATCGCGAGAGGTGGATTGCTCCTCTTTCGTGGCCGTTACCGTTAACGCGTTCACTGCCATATCGTAGCGATAATGCACGCGTTACGATTAGGATAATCCTGTAACGATGATAATAGCTTCGATCGATGGTATTTAACGCGATAATACCAGCCGGGTTGCGTAACAATGGCCGACACGTTTCGAAGGAAAGGTGGTCCGGTAACGGTCGAAATATCGGGATAGGATTAGATCGGTGTGGGTGAATGGGTTGTTTATCGATCTACAGAGGGATCGGTAATGAATCGAAACGAGTCGTGGTCGATAACGGTAAAATTTGCCCCGTTACATTGGTCGAACAACAATAACGCCAACGTCGATCGGTAATTGATCCTCTCGTTCGGCTCCACGGCGATCGATGACGATTCTCGATCCCGTGGGAGTTTCTGAATTAAATGCTCGAGTCATTGACTCTACCGAACGTCGTACGGTTCGCAGACTACCACGCGTTGTCACCGATCTTCGATGGATCGTTGCAGTTCGAAGCGATTGACTTGGGACCGTCCCTTTAACGCGTAGGAACTTCTTTTCGATCTATATAATTAAACCGAAGCCTTTGCAACGATAACGATAAAAAGGTTGGGGTGAAAATGTGACGATTAGCCCGGTGTATTCGGGAACGATCATAAATCTAATATATCGGGGAGCAGCTGAAACGCTTTGTGGTTTACGTAATACACGCGATGGTACGCGGCAACGTCAATTAATACCGTATTACGAAATCGTTGGCTATTTGCATCACACGGACGTTGCCCATCTGTGTCTAGGCCTCCCAGCCTTCTGCACTTTATTCAAAGACATTCGTTATTCTTGCTACGCTGATTACGGGTTGCACAATTCGCGCTCGCGAAGTATATCCAACGAAGGATCTTCGTCTTTTCGGGAACGTTGTAAATTTATCGAAACTTTAAAGAATTCAGGGAACAAAGTCATCCTTCGATTGTAAAGATTAATTGGTGAAATTAGCGAAGCGTTATTAAGCGGATAAATATAGGAAACAAATCGACAATTCAATTGAATCGAATCGTTTCCGCTTTATAAATTGAATTCTACCTTACGTCCGAGCTCTGAAAGAGAGAATTCGAATCACAATTAGGGTGGTCGAAAATGTTGTTATTTAAACTTGAATTAAACGTATCGATCGAGATTGCTATAAATAATTTAGCCGCTCGCATGGTACTACATTTAGATCGAAGAATTTCGAGCCCCCTCTAACGTTATGTTCCTAGTTGGTGTTTATTTTTTAATCGTAAAACACAGCTTGTACTACAAGGCCGCTAAAATTGACTTGCATGAGTGTCCTTGCTCGAACCATTAATAACGGGATAATTCTTTTTTTCTTTCCGCAGAAATAGATAAACAAAATAATCATACGTTCGACACTAATAATTCTACGGGACTCGTTACGAAAACGCGGTTGTAATCGCCACCGAGGAGAGAATCCTTTGCGTAACCGATAATTGAATACTCGTATAATTTTACATAAACAAAGACGATACACGAGTATTTTACTTGTGTTTATTCGCAGAAGGTCTTAGAAAAAGGTTAATAACGCGAGAACAGAATATTTTTCATTCTAATCATAATCTTTCTTCTAACGAGTCTATAATTTCCATGGATTAAATCACGCTTGATTGTCTCATCGTTTCAGCTTCAACGTTTCTCGTTAACTCTGACATAACTATGCTTTGACTTTTCGGGGTCATCGAAGATTTATCGAGATTTTTATTTAATCATCATTCATAACTCTGTAGGTTGGAAAATATTTTGAAAGCAACGGAGAATTTTCTTCAAAGGGGTTGAAATTCGACGAAAGGTTATTTCTCTTACTCGAGACGATAATTTGAGCAGACACCTTTTTTTTTACCGTACACTTTCGTTGTACATCATGAAAATCCGGCTTGCTCGTCTCGTCTCGGTCCGCCTCATCTTCGTCAGCGCGCGGTTTAAAGCGTGACCCGCAAAAAGGCTCGTCGCGAACGGAAGAAAAAGGGCTGCCGGGGTAAAAATAATGTTTCGCGGACGTCATTAACTGGCGACGAAAATACGGTGACGAGGGGCATCGTCTAAGAGACGCGACGGACGGATAAATCACGACAGCTTCGCAGCTAAGTCGCCTGCAAACCGGGGCCAGACAAAAATCGTAAAAGAGTTCGAGGAACGAACCGAGACACCCACAGGATTTGCACTTGCTCGCGAAGTAGCGTTTCTAAAACGGAAGAAAAAGAATCACTCGCCTTTATACTCGAGTTTAATATTAATTTGTTGCATATCACATCGGATATTCGAGTGACACAAAATGGCACTTGCGGTACAATTGAAATCAATTTGAAGCTTAAGGTTTTAAATTCGACGGTTTAGCGAAATATTTCTTTGATACTTGGTTTACTTTAATCCTAAAGAGGGCAAACGATGGTGGATAATGATGGATAATATTTCTACGAGAGGGAAGCTCTCTTTCAGACACGAATGAAGTTTGCGACCAAGATTCTGTTCCCCTGGCAGAAATCTACCAAGATTAAAAGTCGGATTCCGATGACATACAGCGGGCAAATGCGCTGTCAAGGAGGGAAACGTTTCAAAAGGAGCAAGTAGAAAATTCTTAGCGCATTTTTTCGTCCGACAAGCCTCTTCATCCCTTTCGCCGACTCTTTAAACCAGTCGAGCTTCCGTGTGTCTTATTAATTTTAAACGTGAATTATCCCCTCTAAACCGACCCTACGTGGATTATAAATAACCCGGACGGAAAATGTAACGTTAATACGAAGAAATAAAAATACAAAATACTCGGTATAAAAAGAAGAGAAATATTTCGACGCTTGTTCCGTTAATCGTCGAGGATGCTGATCAAGGATATTTCCCAGCTAATCAGCAGGTGGGGTCACGCGACGAAGCAGGTGCGCGAAGAATCGTGAGGCGGTGTTGGAACACGCGTTGTCGCCGATGCGTACGAAGCGTAGGCATTTAGCGTGATGTAAGCGTAATCGGAAGAAGACCTTGCGAGTCGCGTGACTCGTGCCGAGGATTCTACGAGATATCCTCTTCTTGGTACCGATTGCGATACCACAATGAAATTTCTTTTCTTCAAACCCCGTACCTTACCGAGTCGATTCCCTTGGTCAAAGATGAACGATCGATGTTCGAAGGTAAGCTTTCCAGCTGAAAAATATAAGATATCGAAGAGAAAAGAACGATCAAGGTCCGCTGTGGCGATAACTAGGTGTCCTTCGTGATCCGATCCTCAGGGTCGTCGATTTTTTCCGTCTGGCCCGAACTCGATCGTAATTTACATCAGGTTTCACCGATAATTTGTATTTATCAAGACATTTGCCAACATCTGTTTCTAATTGAACAAAGTAGACCGCCAACGTGTATATGTATTTGAAAGTGTCGTAGATCATGCTTAGATAACAAGTCGATTTAGTCATCGAACGAGCGTCGTAGAGGATTTCCAATCGGGCAAACGTTTCCTCGATCGATCCAAATTCGGGCAAGCACGTGGAGGTAAGATGTAGAGATCGGCATATACAGGAAGCAACGAGGAGACGAGAACGGTGCCAAAGGCGAGTACGGCCTTGCGATCACTCGAATGGAAGGCATCACGTGCGGGATAAACGAGCCTGTTGTCGTAGGTCGGTAACGATCATCGCCGCTGTGATTTATTCGTCGAGCGTCGAAAGAGAGGAACGCGGATAAGAAGGATAGTGAAGTCGCGAGTTGCGGAGGACGAGAGAACACAACGACCACTAAGCGACGCGACCGGGGGAAATTAATTTCCACTGGCCTATTTATATCGATCGGCCTCCCGTGAGAAGAGGCTGTGTAACCGTTTCCTATAATGCCGCTCGTTGTATAACGATCACGTTTTTTTTTTGTTTTTTTTGTTAATTTTTCTTACCTAATTAGTCGATCGATCGAATCAGCTCTGTTTAGAATTTATCCAAATTTCCTTCCAGCCTTCTGATCTGAAATTTAATTATATCGGTCTTACTAGTAGCTCCTATGACGATTATCGGTAATCTATTCTAGAAATTTAATTAAATGAAATAATTAGGAAATTAGGAAAGAAAGATTTGAATGCTTCCATATCAGTGGTCAGACAAGGGATAAAGGTTACCGTTTGTTTTGCATCAGACTTTGATTCGATGGATGAGTTGTCTTATCTCGTTCACTCGAGTCCTCGAATCGATAAGTGATATATCGGTGGTCGTGCTTGATCGCAGCAGCACCTGTCGATGGGTCGTACGCGCGTAATTCTCGTGCGTGATGTTGTGTAACCCTCACGTTTCCCTTACTCACGTGCCAGCCTACCTGTAATCAGTCATCGATTGTAATTATCAGCGATGCAACAATATCGTCGTGGCCGCGGACAAAGTTTCGCTATGCTGCGATGTGTCTTCATTTACGATCAGCTAGAAAAGGTGGAAAGCTCTTGAAACTATGCTATCGACGAGAAGTAGTATCGTCACTATAACAGTAGAAGTACTTATCGAGAGTACTTATGTAATTGAAAGTAGGCGAACGACGTTGCGTAGTCACGTGTCGGAGTTGCTGCGTGCCTTTACAACTGATCGTGATCAGTGGGAAGACAAAGGGTCCATCGCGACGGATTCTTCGTCTTTCACATTGATCGCAAGTTAAATCGACCGACTGCTACGTCAACGTTCAACAACTTATCCTTTGATTTTGTTCGCGACAGACTTAGAATTCTGATTTCTTTTCATCCCTCGAATGTATGCTCGAACGTTCATTTTCAAATTCCAAAAACAAGGGATAGCCCTTTCGTCTGTCTAGCTAAAGACCACTCTTGTGAGAAATTATTTGAAGCAAACGACAAAGCAGGAAGATACGTCAGTTTTATTTAGAAAACAATGAAGTTCGTAGGGTTAGAACAGAACGAAATATCCCGAAAGGGCTGAATGTAGACAAGATATGTAGACGGAAATCTCTGTCGAAAACAGTAGGTACTGTCAGTTCGATGGTTCGATTCTAAAGAGAAGCAACCAGTAACCCCGACCCCAAGCCAGATTTAACCGACGATTAGAATAGAATCTCTGTGAACAATCGATCGAGTCACGAAGCATAGTCATCGTCATCCTCGTGAATCATTCTAACGTCTTCGAGTTCCACGTGACCGAGGGATTATCGACGTGTCTCGCGGGTAAAAACGTTAGCATATTACGGGGCCGCGAGTTGCGTAAACGTTTAGCTCGCATAACCAACCAGGCTGTGTCACGTTTCGGTCATGAAGAAGAGAACGCGACGATAACGAAGGTTCGTCGTTTGAATTAACGAGGCCGACACGTGACTTAACCGAAGTACGGATGCGTTCGCGGTTTCCTTGGAAATCCACCCGTCGATTCTTATCCTCGTGACCGCGAATAACACGATCGCGTCCAAGCGTTTCCAAGCGATATCCAGTCTTGTTCGCTAGCTGCGTTCATCTCGAATCTCGGTACACGTTGATCGAAGAGACGCGTTTTCCTCTCGAGGAAAACGTCATCGGCCTCTGACGCCAGATACAACGACAATAGTTTATCCGTACGGGTCGATGCTCGGAATAAAATAGAGAAAAGAAGAACGAGAAGTCTCTTTTTCCCTGGATTTGCAGCCGAGAGCAGACGCGTTTTCACCCTTCTGTACATAATCAATTTTTCCTCGTTCCAAGGAACATCGAACCTGCATCCTCGGCATCAGCAGAGTGAAAAGACCGAGACAAAGACTCGAGGCGACCGGAAACGAGACAGTTTGAAATTCTCCGCTGAACTTTCCCGTTCTGCGAACGCCAACGTCATCCCATTTGAATCTTACAGCGGTGCACGTCAGGAATAAAACATTTGACGAAAATTAACCAAGACGACCGGAACCTTGTAGCACAGATCGTGGTCGTGTATAGGATCGATAATTGGAGAATCGTTATTAAGAATTGTCGGTTCTCTCTTAATTTTCGCGTGATTTTTGTTTTCTTCGAAAATCCCACGGGCAAAATTTCTATATTTAAACGACCGAGACGGCATTGATATTATATTGCTAACGGGAAAGGTAAATAACGATTGCGTCACATTGCGGCCGTGAGAACCGTGAAAAGGATTACAAGTGAACTTCGATTAAGGTCCAGGCAAGGTTCATTGATCGATCATCGAACGGAATTCTAGCGAAAAAAAGGAGGACGAGTTTGAAAAGACAAAGGATAATTTCGGATCGAACACCTAATACGCGATGCCGATTGGTTCGACGACCGAACGATGTATGCTCTTATCAAAACAGCACCGGGGTATTTTCGCGTTACCGCAGTCTAGACTTTTGTTAAACAAACACGTCGTCGCAACCGGCTGGTATATCGGTGCGAAAAAAGCAACGCTAGCGTCGTTTATTCGCGTTCGATTCTCCGGAAAACGTCTGCTCGTCATGACAGCTTCGAAAATTGATCGAACTTTGTTACCAAGAAAATAAATAAACGGATCGATTTCGATCGACGATAGCCATTCAGCCATCTTTAACCATGACCTTTCTTTTTTCAACACGTATTATTATTTTTTTCAACGTACGAAGAAGTTGCGATCGATCATTTCCCATCGATCGGAGACTCGAGCATTCTCCTCGCGAAGGACTTGCGCGGCTAATTAGGATACAGCCTGGTTGTAAGTACGCGCGACCAATTAACTAGTTAGGAATAAATTACCGCTTTTACCTGGCGTGCGGTTACGTAAGCCTGTTACCAAGACTAACTGTACCTCTCGGCACAAGATATCATTACCACGACGATATGTATTTCTCTTTGCTTTACGTCATCGCCACGATTAGGACACCGCCAGCTACATGCCGGGCCATTTTTTCAAACGAAATTCGGATTCATTTTATTGCCTTATTCCGGCAATGTCGATGACTGTTTCGCTTTGAACTTGAACATTTTTGTGATAAGGGAACCTTGACTAAAGATTAAGTTCGAGGTTAATTTCTTCGTTCCTATTTGGTTCTATAATCACTGAAAGCTGAATTTTCATATTTACACTAGTTAAAATTAATCGTTTACCGGCAAGATTATATTTTTCCAGAGAACGTTCCAAGATCGAGGGTCAATACGATACAGGTTATAAAAGAGAAAGAAAGACGAATAAGCAAAACGTTGCTTTTAATTCCCCCTTTTTATTTGCAATCTTATCATATCGTCTGTAATAAAAAGACGATTTCTTGTTGATCGATCGCAGGGAACTATCTCTAAAATCAAGATTCCTCTTCTTGTTCCATTTTTATTTCTACTTCTACTTTGCATTCAGTAATCGTTTCTGTGCAGACGAAAATGCAGACGCTTGTCTGGTTTTCAAAAAAAGAAAAGGAGAGAAAAGAAATGAATGCAACCCGTCGTCTCTGTTTATACGAACAAAGGTCAAGCGAGGAATCCAAAATTTGAAACAATACGATCTCTCGACGAGATAACTATCGAATACTTAAACAAAACAATTTCGTTGAAATAAATAAAATTTTGCTTCTGATGAAACATCGATTTCATTTGGTTGTATTAAAATAATGCAAAAATTCGAAGAAATCCTGAAATTATATAAGAAACCTCGGGCGATAAAGTATTGACGTTACGAAGGAATTTTTCTTTTTCGATGTATTCTAAAATTTTAATTCATTGTTCGTTCGTTCGATCGATAGATCGTTTTAATCGATCCTCTCGGTTGGCCAACTATATTTAACTCGGCCGGTATTATGCATACAGTTACATCACGTCGCGATTAAAATAGCAAATCCGCGAAGTTCACGCTCGTAGCTGGCAACGCGAAGCACAGCTGCACCGTAATCGTGATAACGTTATCACTGTTCGGACTATGTCTGCAAATATATTTGCGCCGTTAAGTGCAACCTCGTGCTGCATTATTATTCGTCTCGTTACTCGGTTCCCCTCCTCGTACCACGCTCTAAACGATACATCTGTCCTTTGCTTCCTCGAATATTTTTCATTTCTCATCCGTTTTATCGCTTTTAATCCCTCCAACTTCGACTCGCGAATTTTTCCACGAAACGGATATCTTGTCTCGATCGAAAGTACTTTGAGTAAAAATATCTAAGTACCGGACGTTTTTTAGATAACGTTGGCCGTTAAGGAAGGTCAGTTGGGACTCTTTGTACATAATAAAGAAATTAAATTCGATAATGTTTATATTGATTGATGGACCTGTTGCAAAGAAAATGGGTATACAGTATTTTTGTGGCGAGTGTTTATTACCGTATCTTCGTTCTCAATCGGGTAAATATAAATTTAATTACGCGAGTGATCAATGCATTTAATTATTACCGCTGACGCAGAAGATTGTTGTAATTGAACGATAAGTACATCGTGTATGAATTTTGGAAAATCCGTCTTCAATTTGGAAATTTGCTTGAAAAACACTTAAAATCTTTTGCATTGGAAAAAAAAAATGTTGCCTCCGGCTTTGTTCACGAACATTATTTGCGTACGACTTTAATCACGTGTGTCATTATTCTTCTTTATTTACGCAAATTTGATGGTCGGTTGCGCAACACGTTTATTGTTTACAATGAGCCGATGACGTTGCTATCTTTTTTTTTTTTTGCCGTTGTCTATATTTTCGACGTATTCAGATGTAACTGACCTTGCCGTACGTATATCGTGACTTTGTCTTTCAAGATTTCAACTCGTCATTCTTATTTCCAAAACATTATTCAACAATATTATTACTTCGGACTCATCTAACATTCCCTTCTATCCTTCATTCGCATATCTGCGTAATTAATTACGTCGTTTAACTCATTAATGACCGCATAGTGAAAACATGAAATTTAGTTTATCATCTTGTATTGCGCGAAATTACGACTCGCCCCCAGTACCAAGACAACAGTCTCGATAATGGCGAACAAACGAGAGTGTTATTCATTGTATGGCCTTCGCGTGATCGGTTATCGCGGCAGTCTAACTGAATCAAAAAAAAACATTCGACCATACAGGTTGGACCAGTGAAAAACAAATCGCGTTTCATCGTTTAAACGAACTGTTTCCGGTCGTCACTTTTCCAGACGTTGCAGATTTTCTTTTAGCTTTCATCTTCGTCCTGTTATCAATCAATTTTCTTTAGATCTTGTTTCATTCAGATTTATGTCTCGTACAGTCTTATGCGGGCAACTTATCGGAGGTAATAGATTGAAACCTGAAAAGAGAATTCTTCTGGACAAATTCCAGCGATCCTCCCGCCGTGTGGGGTTCACCGGAAGCGCAAATACGGTTGATCGTTAACATTCATTGAATCGTTTTCTGCGCATCGTCCCGCGGAGAGGTCGATTCTGTTATCAAGTCTCCGTCTGGCAGCCTGTTGTGCGTCTCAGGATACGTCAATAACATCGTAAAATCCCGACCTACCTCCACGGATCGAGAGGAATTGGTCGGTTACGATGCGCAAAACGTTCTTGTTACTTACACGCGATTACTCACCGAGTACAATCGCGAGCAACGAGGACTTGTACCGAGACAGAAAGCACACCGAGTTGTGTCGATCATGTACCATGGGACCACCGTCGGTCTTGGGGGCGGAGCCACGGGCTACCCCCACCTTCGTCCTCGCACCAATAGTATTACAACGCGTCAGATGCCTTCCCCCTCCATATTCCCTTTAACCGAGAGAACGTAATTGCCCGTGAGTGTACAATTCGTTTTCGCGTTCCCAGTTGAAGTTTCGATAGCTTTCCAAGCACTGATAGTCTCGACGTTCTTTATTCTCTGACAAGTGCACGCCTTTCCTTGTCAACTGCGATGCTCTGCTGCAACTTCAAACCCGGCTACCTAAATCGAAAACACGATGACGCGATTAAAAAGCTTATTAACATTGTTCCGTCCTCTCGGTCAAAACAAGACCAAGTTCCACGTCGTTCATCTCTGCCCAGGTGTGTAAACAGTTGGCTGAACTGTTTACACACTGACATTTCGCGAAACGAGCGATTTAACGAATGTTCAGCAGAAATTGTTGTACGCATCGAATGGATATGGATGATCATTATGCAGTCTGTTTCGGTGTCATTGAAGAATATAGAGCTTTGACTCTAGCTGAACTATACGCAATATTTATAGATTCTCTAAGGCAACCTCGTTCAACGATTACAGTAACTGTTTAAGTTGAAACGACAGCTTCCTGTGCCAAATCAAACTTCGACCAGCTAGAACTGTAAACCAGCAAAACTCTTTATCCTCGACATACTTTTTTAATAGCTCTGCTCCAAGCAAATAGATTAGGTTATGATAAACATCTTTGGAACAAAAATACAATTGTTCAAGCGTTAAAGAGATACCTTCTACGAGAGTTTGTAATATTTATTAAACGATTGTATCCGTTGAAATCGAAAGAAAAAGGAGGGGATCGAGCGAGGATAGACACAGTCCTGCATCGAACGTGCCATTCGCTCATTAAATCTCTTACGGTTTGGGTTACGTAACGAGCTTGAATTCTGACATAATACACTTGGCTCAACACGTGTACCCGCCTCGAACTTTTACTATCCGCTCGGTGGACAAGCTTGGGAAATCCTAGAACCGCTCGCAGCCTCTGTTAATTAGACATCCAGCCTGGAAAAGAGAGGAAAAAGATCGCTTTCTATCCTCGATCTTCCTGATCGATCCGATCGATACGAAATTGCGAGAATTTCACGGGAGTTGTTGACGAAAATTCTTTGCGTGTGGCGAGGAAATAAAATCGACGAGTCGTCCAAATGATTTGCATAGAAAAACAGAAATTAATTCTTTTGATACGCTCATTGGCAAATTGAATGCAAAAAATAGACAAGACACAGAGCACTGTACCTTGGTGTTTGTATGGATAAACGGACATTCAATCTGTTGGTAATTATATCAGAATAAGAAGGAAAAAAAGCTTAATCGCGATCAGAGAAGAAAACGAAGGTTTTGCTGAATGTTTTCAACCAGCGAAATCGAGGTCGATACGATCGAGGTTATACGATGACCAGCCTCGAACCAAGGAAGTCGTTGTTGAACGTTGATTGCGAAGACGCTAATAAATGAAGTCAATTGAACTATCGTGTCGATATCGTGCGAAACATGATGGAGAAACAACTAATTAATTTTTTGTCACAACATATCGTTATGTAGAGTAAGTTCGTGATAAAATTGTTATTTTCACTGAAAATGGACAAAAAAATCAACAATATTTAGTTGCCGCAAGGTCAAGATAACATTTGTGCGCGAAGAAAAACACTTACTTCTTTGTTAGCGTTAATGAAAGATTGTTAGTATTGTTTAAAGTATAATACAGGTGAAACATGAAATGTCTGGAAATGAAGATAGAAAATGGCTGGATTAAGAAAGGTAACCGGCCGACTTTTCAGCTGCGATTCAGCGGGGTCAAGGTGCAAAGCATTCGATATACCGATTTCCCAACAGCTCGCGAAGCCTTATGTAATAGCATAACCACTCGATTGCAGTAATTCACCTTGCTTTATATACCTGTGTGTTTATATCTACAATACACGTTAAAAGTGTTCGCTTGCAGAATCCGAGTGCTAATAGAACGTAAAGGAAAACTTTGATGCAACTTGGTAGTATCCTTATAAATTGAATAAATTTTATTAAACAATTATTATACAGAGTGGACCATGCAATTATTAGCGCATTCACGAAAAAATGTCAAAAGAGAAAGATAACTTGGGTCAGAAGATTGGCTGCATTTAGTTGGAGATACAGACGTATTGCATACCCCACTCTGAACATTGAAGTTGCGTATTTGCTCAACATGTTAGCGAACGATCGAAGGAGCAGAAGTTCGTTACTTTATTTATATTTTTCACCTTTCATCGAAAGAATCGTCGAGGTATGGACCTTCTCCGTTCCCCTTGGCCGATTTTGTCCGGCGATCGAAGAAACCACGAGTATGCCCTTGCGAAATTCTCGGCCCGCGGGTTCGCGTTACACTTTATTATCGCTTCTCGTCTCTGTTCCGCGATGCAGCTTCGATGCCGCCTCCTCGGCCATGCTCCGTGCTCTCGGTCTGCTCCAGAAACCTACTTTTTCGAGTCAGCGGTGGCAATGCCAGCCTCCGTTTTCTCGGTTATCTTTCTCGCGTGTCACGAGCTCTCTGTTACGTGAACCGACTTATTGCTTTTGCATTCAACCAGTAACCATAATATTTTCATCGTTATCGATTCACCGAGATATCGCAAATTAGTTATTTCAATCGTCTTGTCGCGGTTTCGAAAACATCTCGATTACATGTAACCTACTCCAAGAGGGTCCATTCAATTTCCAATGAAATATTTCGAAATTCATCCTACTGCTGTCGATGTAACGCGATCCATTCAAGTTGGTCGGTGTAAGAACAGATGAAGAGAGATTCTTTTCGATTCGTCCTGTTCCCCGTTGCAAAGACAGCAAGTAGGCCAGGCTTGAATCTCGCGCTGCTTTTGTCTCGCAGCCGCTCCTACTCGCTATTTCTGGACTCGACCAATCTTTTTTCTTTATTCCTCTTCCTTTGCGACGACCCCGTCAACCTTTGAGATTCGCAACCCCCAGAAATTCGCCAAGACCAACTTAAGGAGGCCACGTATCTCCAAAGTGCCCGGGCCAATTTGGGAAATGGAATTAGGCACGCGAATGCGGCGCGGTGAAATTCTTTTAGTCGAAAGAATTTTATTTTCACCGGTTAGAAGAGAATCTTTTTCGATTTCTCATCGGTCCGATAAGCGTTACGCAAACGCGGCTTTCATTCTGTTTCGTGTAACCGATGTAACGCGGTCGTTACCGTTATTTGGACCAACAATGTCAACCGATTCGTCTCTTTAACGCCGGGGAAATGTGGTACATTGAACGGTACCATTCGAGCGGATGCCATTCGATGGAACTGCACTCGCTGCTGTTATTCGAAACCTCTTTCAGTTAATTTCTGTTGCTGATATAATTTCCAACGCGATAGAATTATATTATCGTCGTCTTTTTTTATCAAATAGTATTATTTTCGATTGAAACGATTAGAATTGTTTAAAAAAAAAAAATCCGGTCGAGAATTAGAAGAGAAACAATTTTATAGTTGGTACATGCACGCGCATACAAACGCACGTTTACATGGCTAATGAGAGAAAAATATTGCGTTACGATGTTGCACAATGTTGAAACGAGCTGATACGCGCAAAACGTGAACCTCCCGTAATGAATCTTTGCTCCTATAAATAGGCATGTATCAAACTGTCCGTATCCCGCGACACACTTTAACCAACACCGTTGGAATCGTCTGAGAAAGCAGAGAGGATTCGCTGCAATGTTGTTTCGTTGAGAAATTACCATTGTTATTGTTTGTTCATCGATGATATCATCGGGTTTTATTTTTCATTTTTCTCTCTACATTTCTTACTTCGTTTTAATTACGCGTTTTATTACAACACGTGATAAGTATTAATAGATAGGTGATTCAAACATAGAATAGATTTCTTTCAAATAAATATAAGATTTATTGCTAAGTACTCTTACAGTTACACAATGGTAAAGAAAGTTTGAAAAGCATCGCAATTGTTAATAAGATAGAAAAAAAGATAATGAAAGAACGAAAGATGAATTCGTATATTTAAATAGACGAGCGCAGCGCGGCGTGGGTGATTCGGCTCGATTCGGCACGATTCGGCTTGATTCGGTTGGTCTCGGTCTGCGCCGGCGCTTATGTAACAGTCGTGCGTCCAATACACGTGCTCGCGACCACGTGGACACCGGTCACGTTATGCTGGCCGATATCTCTGAAAATGGAATTATTCTTACGTAGTAGCTTAACCTCGTAACAAACAGAACCTGTCGATCCCGAATCCACGATGACTAACACGTGAAGATCATTTTTGGATCTGTCCGACACAGGAATACAAACGATTTTTATTTAGCATCATCCGTGGCCAATTTTCTCTTCTTTTCTATTTTTTTCTTTTTTTTTTCATTTTCATCTGTTTCTATGTTCCCTATTTTTACATCGCTTTAACGATGACATAATAACATTGGTTTCAGTGGGAAATCATTTTTAACGCGTTCGTTAGTCCGGTAGCTAAGCACGTGTGTAGTTAGGCAGGTTGAAAATCTAATTAGCTAATTTCCAAATCGAACCTTCCCAATTAGGGATGAAGTTTCACGAAGAGCATCGAACCTTTGACGTGGATCTAATTGAACAAGTTGAAACGGTAATGGCAACATCGAACGAGATGTCGAAACGAGATCGAAATGCTGGTGTTCGATTGCGTTCACAGCAAGCGAATAAGGGGCAAAGGAATGATATATTACACGGCGCAACTAAGACGATAATTATATGCTGGACGCGTTGCCATTATCTAACCGCAGACTACACTCCCACCTAGATTCCAAACAATGTGACTGGACGGGGACCTTTAACAGAGTTATCTTGCCCAACGCAGCTGCTCGAGCGTGTCGTAACCGACGACGGTGCAACGAGCTAAATTGTCGTTAACGGTAAATTATGATGGCAAGAAGTATTCAACTTGAGTCTGTATACGTTGTTCGGGGATCTAGAATCGATTTGTTGTCCTCGATGGATCGTTCGTAGAATTTGAAAAACACTCGCTAACCAGACGTTATTACTTTACTCGAATCGGCAGGTATTTACCTTTGCGAGTCGATGCGAATAATTTTCAGGCAATTCACTAGGATTCTAGGAGAATTATTAAAATAGCGTAGGTTTTTGAAATTCAATCTTGTTTCGGGCGCGTGTATTTCAAGACACACGTTAAAAAGCACCTTTATTCACCTTGATTCTGTTAATTATTAATTGAAGATCTAATCACTATTTGAAAAATGATGTCATACAAAGTATTTCGTTTTAAATGATTTCCTTTATTATTAGCGTTACATTATATTGTTTTTAACCACGCTGTTTTGTTTTGTATTCTTGCTTATAGCTAACATTCTACACATACTAATGGTCTCATAAAACCATAAGGATGCTTTAGGATACGTGTTATAGGTATAAAATCATTGATATCGCGTCGTAGTGTATAAAACATGATAAAACAAGTGAACGAATATCGACGTATAAATGGTTACACAGCAGTGGGAGTAATAAATAAACAAGTTATTATATAATTTACGAGCAAATGAACGAGAGAATGGATGAAATTGGATTTAAGCTCTCGTTTTACGACGTTTCTTGCTTGTCACGTAATTGCAACATTCTTCGCCAGTGCTGGAGGATTCCGAGCAATCGCATTCGGAACACGTGCACGGTGACGACGAACGTCCTGTAACGACACAAATAATCATCGCCAGTCGATAAAATCGAATTTTTAGTCTCGAAGCTATAAATAATTTGAAGAAAAAGTACTCACCCTTGCGACGAGACGTCTTCTTCTTCGACGGCCTCGAACCGCAAGCTTTCTTCGTTGATCGCGACGACCGTGAATTTCGATTTTTCGCTTTTCCTTTGCCTTTTCGCCTTTGAGGCGTGCTATCGAAACAATCGCACCCTGAACATGCACAGCTATCAGAGTAGTCTGATGTGAAAGAGGATTCAGAAGTACTGGAATACGAGCTACTGCTCGTACTTTCTGAACGACGTCTACCACCCCCGCAACAAAACGATTTCCTGGTCGTTTTCTTCGTGGTTGATTTCCTGCAACTTTATAATTACTCGTTTTTCTTGAACTCGTTTAAATTTGTAACTGTCAGATGAACATAAACAGCGAAGGCGTTTGTTGATGAACTTTTTCCGTATAGAAGGACGATCGAACGAAACGCGTGAACGTTACAATAGAAGAATTTTAAGAAAAACCTTGTGAAAATGATATGTTTCTCACCTCATTTTGTTAGGATTCTTTAACTGTAGCTGTGTTTGCTTTCGAAATTCAATGGCAGGTTGAAATTCTTTCTCGTGGAAGTATTTATTTCACTTTCTTTTTTATTGTCCACGTGAACTATTTTCATTTAACACTGTAATTAATTGAATATCACCGTAATGTTCGTACAGATTCAATCACGGAGAAAGATTTCAACAGTCGCCAACGTTCTCTTCTTTGGTTCAGACGCGAATGTTTCCCGTGACAAATAGTTCGCTCTTACTTATATACACAACATTCGCCTTTTCAAAATTTGTTTACCCGTTTGAAGTACGTTTGGAGTCGGAGTCAAACTCCAAACGTATGCTACGTATATACGTTACAAAAAAACAATAATCATGCATAAATGATTAACAATGATTAACCGAAATTTTAGTTCTATGTATGTACTATTATAGTACGAAAGCAAATAATGAAATTCGAAATAGTTTCCAACGTAATCAAGCTTGAGGTGTTTCCACGCCGGTAAGATAGAAATTGATCTTCTTTCAAACTGTTTTCCCATCTATCGAATTTACAATCTGCTTACTTTGTCCTTTGTTCTATTATCGAGAATTGTTATTAGATAAATAATTGAAAGTCGCAGGTTAATTGCTCGTGACGATTCGAGCTGAAGTCGCGACTTTAAATGAAAAGGTGCAGACCAGATTGCAGACCTTGTTATGCAAGTCGAATGTTGACGCAATTCTGATCTAATCTGAGCGCGATCGTGGTGCCGATCCTTGGGAAAACTTGAATTGCACGCTTTATTTATTAGCTGTATCAGAAGAAATCGAAAGGGCGCCATTAGTAGAGTAACGTTAACCCTTGAGACTCGAAAATTACATCACATTATTAACATAGTAGAAAAATCGTCGGCTATTTAGAGTTAACAAACATAATATTATTCCTTTTCTTTCTGTTCTCTTTTAATTAAGGCGTGAGGCAATCAAGTGGACGAAATTCGATAATCCTACCACGAATAGTCGTAAAGAAAAAGGGGGAGCGAAATAGTAAGATTAATTTTGCTCGGATAGTCGAGGGGTGGTTCGGACTCCTCAAGGCACGTAAACGAGGGTGCTGTAGCTTTATGGCACCCCGTGGAACAGGGTTGCAACGTGACTCAGCAACTGGAATGACGTAAGAAAACGGGGAATCGTAAGAGGGCAGAGAACCCTAATCTCTTCCTATCTCGAGCTGTACACCGATCGGGGGATACACCCTTGAAATCAATTCACCCTCTTCTTGTATTCCCTTACATCTATAAGCGAAGAGGGAAATACTTCTGTATTCATTTGTTACGGTACAATTGTTTATTATATAAATGTTTACAAAACTAAAGTTTATTTGAATAGAAAAATAGGAATGCACAAAGAACACTAGGCTATTTTACCTTTTGACCGTGACGCGGTGTAAAATGAATTTACTAGCAGTTTTAATTTAATCGCTTCAGTTATCAATGCGACTCGATGTCCCAGCGGTGATTGAACTGCTTGAAAATTCACAGGACAGAGTATTGAATGCCCATATCGGTAATTATAATCGAAAGCATCGCGTCGCGACGGCCATTCACGCTGTCATCGACAGACGCCACCGCTTTGTCTAGCGTTTCGACGTCGACTCGTCTGACAGATTGAAGATCGATGCGACAATAGAGGTCTTGCATCGTATATTTCCATTGTCTCGTTAATCTGTCTCGTTAACTCCATTCTACCTGCTCTCGAACGGTGATTTCTTCTCTGTTTCACGAATCGTTTTAACAGCAGTTGCAAATTGTCACGGTACATTATTTGGTATCATTTCGTCGCCAGGTTTTTCTGTTTTTCGATAATTCAATCTGTTCCATTATTATATCGATTCATCGATCACTGTATCGGTTTTGGAAAAATTTATTCTCACGTACGACAAATTATTTGTAGACGATGCTAAGAGGGCTCAATTTGTTAAAATTACACAATTTATAACTCGAGATGCAAATTATTAATTAGTATATTATAGCTACTATATTATTATTAAATAATTAATACGATAAACCTTAATTTTATCATATTACATGTGCGCTTGGAGAACAGTATCGATAGTGCCATCTAGTAGCAACATTGATAAGTTTTCATATACGTGGTAAGATTTATTTACCATCTAATACCACATTTAAAAAAATTATCATATAATCATAAATATTAACAATAACATAACGTTAAAAACATCTAATATTAAATATTAAAAATTATGTAACATTTTACTTCATCATTGCAAATTCGTAAACTGTATGCTTAGGAGTGGAACGAAAGGGTTACATGGGTTGTTGTCGAACAACCCTACAACGTACCTTACCAAGTGTAACGAACCCACATAGAGTTTCGATCGTCCATTTATGTATTGTGCCATTCACTTTCGTTTGGTCGGGGTGGTTGGACGAAGTATCGTGCGACGGGGTGGCAAAGGGTGCTCGAAGAGGGTTGCGCAGCCGCGATGACCGTTGTCCAGCAGGTAGATCGCGGGTTATCCTTCACTTGGTCGCACCTGCACGAGCGCTGGAGAAAAAAAGTCGAAGTCGAAGGGGTTGCGACCGTCGTTGAAGCCGGTGATTAAGACAACAGGCAAAATAAGGGGTTCACGTGTCGCGAACGGGGAGTTCAGTGAGTATCTCTTTTTCATCCCCCCTGGATTCGGGGATGTTTGTTGTTTTGAAATCGAAAGAGCCGGGGTCGATGAACGAGGAGAAACTTGACGAAGGAAACAACCTTTGTTTCTTTCATTTTTAAAGAAAAATAGTTTTATTATTCTTTAATCATTTTCTTTATCATTTGTATATTTATTATCCTTTTATTACTGGCACAAAATTTGAATTTTTAAATGACGGCATTATTAATCAATTCACTCTTTGTTTACAAGTAAAGTTTCTAACAAAGAGTTTTCATAGAATTTTTCGTAGAATTTTAATGGAAGTCCGAAGTATAATCAATTCATGAGAAGTAAAGTTCATCGTTGTGTCAATTTACGGAAACTTAATGGGAGAAAGGATTTGATCGATAAATTCAAACGATTTTCTGTAGCGGTAAGAGCTCGTTAAAAATTTATCTTTCGACATTTATGAACACTTTCTTGTCATTACACAGACAACATGTACGATGTGTGTTATAATCCAGTCTAAAGCAAATCATTCTCCTCGTTTAAGTCTATTTCGAAGCTAAAGATAGCTTTAAAGTGGTTTTCTAAAATAATCGTTTCAAAGAAGTTGTCGCGGCAATGCGAATAATAAAGTCGCGTGTACGTAGAGTCGCACTTGAATCGATACAAAGATTATTATGTTCAGGTGGTACCCGTGCCTAATATAGCAGCTAGTTTTCTTTAACGCGTCAACCGAGTCGCTACAAAGGTGTCCATTATAATTTCGCGATATTTTCACGCGAACGCAATAGAATATTAATTAACAACAGCGAAAGATCAAGGGGGGTTGAAACGTAAGTTGGTAGGCCGCAACAAGTCGACCGTGTTCGAGGTCGTTCATTTGATCCTGGCATTGGCACTAGTCTCTAGAGAGGCGTGTATTATTCAAACCACGATAATCAATGAAATCTTATGGATTAGGTTGACCCAAGTTTCCATTTCCTCGATGGCGACCGTATTACACTTAATCGGTGGCTACCCGCTCGAATAGTAGTGCATGGTTAAACTCGTGTCAAAGAAGAATGTTTGCGCGTTTTGCGAACGCGCTCAGGCGGTCTTTGCCAAAATGTGGCGGTTTCAAAATTCCAGGAATGGAGAAGCCCGACTCCTCCATGGGGGACGAGAGCAACATCGAACTCGAGGACAGAGATCCTAACAGCCTGAACACCCACCTACAGGTACTTTTAAAATGTTAAAAGTGAAAATATATGTTCTATTTATAAAAGCAGTGATCTTGACATTTGAAAAAAAAGGATAATATAGTAACATTAATACATGGTTATTGAACATGTCTTTCAATTCCGAAAGTAGATCACTGAAACAAACACACATATATACGATAGGTGATGTGGGACGATGTGATCGGAGAACCGGAAGGTATACGGAGTCCAGAGTGCGCGTGGCGTCTCAGCGGCCACTGCTTCCGGTTGTCCAGAAGTTGCTGTTACGTGTTGCTTTCCGTTCTTGTCGCTCCTTTGCTCGCCCTTTGCTTCGGTTTCACGTTCGCCTGTCTCGCGTTTCAGGTGAGAATATGGGAAATAGTAAAATTCTACATCGCACAGTTGCACCCTAGGATCTTTTATCCATTCACAGGTTTTTAATAATTTTCTTGCACCGCATCTTGCACAAAGCTTCAAATATGGAACGTATCAGTATTGAATTTATAATACATTGATTTTCAAGATAAATTAATAAACGAAACATTGCAGCACATATGGTGTGTAGCACCCTGTCTCCGCGTCTGGAAGATCACTTTTGCAGCGACGAGAAATTTTTTCACCGCGGTGACCCAAGCCATCATACGACCTATTATGGATTCATTTGGCTATCTGTTTCACAACATTCGCGTGTCGAATCAGAAGCTACCTGACGGTCCTGCGGAGAAGGACGACATCCTCGTGGTGTAAAATAATTAACAAAGTGCCTTTCGACGATCAGCATTGAAATACTTTCTCCTTTTGTCTTCGTTAGACGCAGGAATCTCGTACTGAACGTTTCTGCAACTCTAACTATTAATAGTGACAGATACTCGTTAATCCTCGGTGATCATTGAAAGAAGCATATGACTATATCAATTGTTATAACGTTTTGTAAATAAAAGTTGTATCGGTGCAAACTTGTCGTCGAGAAGCTCAGGAGAGATTCATTTAATTATTTAATTAAATATTACTGAACAATAAATACAAATTTCCCGCCAGTCGCTCGATCAAACAGGGATCCTCATCTCTATCAACGTCGACGCTCTTTCGTAATCAAATGTTATTTAAATAGAAAGCATACTGATAAAGAATGAACGAAAAGAAACGAGCAAAAAGAGGATATACTTTTTTCGAGCACAGCTCTGATAAGTGACGCCTTCCATAGATCAACCAGCCAGTTTTTTACTGGCTGTGAAGATGGCCGCGCTCACGCGAAAGATTTTATCACGATGTGATCGATTCCAGTATGGAATTTCATTTAGAAGTATCCTTTTGTTATAGTATACGAATGCAATCACAGCTTGAAAGGGAAGAATTTTTAATCCTTGTTTTCTGTTCGATTAGGAAGTGTATTTCTTTTCCTTCTACGGTTAGGAATTTTCTTTTTGGAGCTGTAAGTTTCCATCTCCTTGAACTATATTATTCTTAATCGGCCTTTTCAATTGTCAGATATCTCATTTTCACCTTCACTCGCAGGAAAGCGTAAGTGTTTTTTTTTCGATTTATTTATTGACTTTTGGGCAATCACACCTGCTTCGGTTGGCTAGGAACTTTTCAGTCTGTCTTCAGGTGGCAGCACTTACAAAGTGTCGTTTAAAGCGGGAATTTCAATTCGAATATGTATTTTAATAAACTCGAAAGCCCTGAAATCTAACTTGATAAGACTCAAAGATGAAATCTCCCTGATAAACAGCCACCTTCAACTGGCAAGATCCATTTGATCTCGAGTCCCAGCTGACACAGGATGAGGTCTTGATCAGGGATCAATTCCGAACGTACTGTCGCGAGAAATTGTTGCCACGTGTGGTGGAAGCTAATCGCAAGGAGATCTTTCACAAGGAAATCATGAGAGAGATGGGTCAGTTGGGTATCCTGGGGTGCACCATGAAGGGTTACGGTGCTGCTGGTGTCTCCTCCGTGGCATACGGACTCCTGGCCAAGGAAATTGAGTACGTGGACAGTGGGTACAGGTCTGCACTGTCGGTTCAATCCTCTCTGGTAGCAGGTGCCATCTACGATCACGGGGACGAGTCGCAGAAGCAGCGATTCCTTCCGAAACTGAGTACGTTTCAGGAGCAGAATCGATGATTTCCTTGGTCATGATGATCCTAATATTCTTTTAGTCTCTGGGGAACTGATCGGTTGTTTCGGACTGACCGAGCCCAATCATGGCAGCGATCCTGGATCAATGGAGACCAAAGCTACTTACGATTCAGGGAAGAAGGTTTACAGGTTGAATGGGGGCAAAACATGGTTAGTTCACTATTGCTGTTTAAGAAAGAATGATCTGTAAGTGAACACTCGAAAGTATCGTTACACGATTGATCCTCTGAGCCAGGATCACTAATGCACCAGTTGCTGACGTACTGATCGTGTGGGCCAAGTGCGAGGACAATGTGATCCGAGGATTCATCATCGAAAGGAAAGGCAACGAGAGCCGACTGTCCACGCCAAAGATAGAAGGCAAGTTCTCGCTGAGGGCCTCCGTCACTGGCATGATCCTGATGGACAACGTGGAGGTGCCCAAGGAGAACCTACTACCAAACGTTCAAGGTCTCAAAGTAAGGCCTATCGATGTGGTTCTTGGTGATCGTAGATGATTACCCTTTTCTATTATCCCACCATAGCCCAATGGCATTCCCATTTCAACTCCAGAAACTGACAACAAGTATAAAAGAAACTTTAACGATCAGCTCACCTGCTAAAAAGAATCGTTTGTAATGTAGGGTCCGTTCACCTGCTTGAACAACGCTCGATATGGGATCGCGTGGGGTGCACTGGGTGCTGCTGAGGCTTGTTTGACCACGGCCAGGTCGTATGCCCTGGATAGGAAGCAATTTAACAGGCCGTTAGCGGCCAATCAATTAGTGCAGAAGAAGTTGGCTGACATGATGTGCGACATCGCGATCGGTCTTCAGGCCTGCTTGAGAGTAGGCAGGCTGAAGGACGAGGGCAGGTACGACAGGAATGCTTAGGATACTGATTTCTCTTATGTCAGCACATGTAGATAGACGTCTAATTTATTCAGCTTGGACACTTGAAAGCCATCCAAGAACTGTCGACAGGTGACTGGAGCTGTTCTTAGGAAAAGAGTTGAAATTAAGGCTTCCTTGACATGATTTAGAATGAGTTTCGGATGACAAAGGCACACGGTCCTTTGAGTTGTTGGAAATTTCTTTCCATAAACAAATTATTTGTCTGCTAGGGCTACACCAGAGATGATTTCTATAATAAAGAAGAACTCAGCCATGAAGGCTCTTGAAATCGCAAGGACAGCCAGGGACATGTTGGGTGGCAATGGGATTTCAGACGAGTATCATATTATTAGACATATGATGAATCTAGAGAGCGTAATTACTTACGAAGGTACATACAAATACCTCTGGATATAATGAACAAAATATTGTATAAATACTCTCTGCTATAGGTACAAACGACATCCACAGTTTGATACTGGGCAGAGCCATTACTGGCATACAGGCATTCTCTGCATAGACAAGGGTTAATTTTTAAAAACGGAAAGGTAACGTCCCTTAGACGATTTATTTTATATACATTTGTATATTATTTTAATAAAACAAGCAAAACGTTTTTTCTTTAAACGTCAAAGTTGAGGAAAATTTGAGAAGGTAAAGGATTGAAAAAGAAGAGAACGAGAATCGAACGTCTAATAAATGATAAGACGACCAACCATTGTTCCTCAAGTTTATTTGATTCTTTCTTTTTGATATTAATTGTGAGCTTCCGCGGGTAACCCTTTCGCTTCAACCCCTTCCAACGAAGGCATCCTCATTGTTATAATTTCACCTAGATTTTGCTTCAAATTAAATTTTATTAACAAAATAAAACGTTAAAAAAAAAGAAGACGTATTGGGAAACAGAATACAGCTGCTAATTATTACCGAAAATTCGAAAAAACGCGCGTCTCGATTCGAAGAATGAGAAAACAATAGAAAATACTTGGAATATTTTAATATTTCACTATTTTTCTTCTTTGTTCATGTTGAAAATCATGAAAAACCAGGTCCGTTCAACAAAGGGCGTTGCACAACACAAGCGACTCGGATTAATCATAAATAAATTAAGTTTAATTGCTAAGTAATAAAACGTTAATTACATATGTCAATGATAATTAATTTAAGTACAACACACGTCTCGTGCAAAAGTGTAAAGAAGTTTCTTTTTCGTGCTACACTCAATTACCATTTTTTTTTTGTGATTTTTTTTTTTAAATACTTTTTTTCTGTTTGGTTTGTTGTTTGGTTTGGTTTTGCCTCTCGTCGACGATAAACACTCGCCACTTTTTATTTCCTCTGTGTACTCGTGTGTGTCAATCGTGTATTTGTGTCTGTTTTTTTTTCCTGTCTCGTTCTCAAATTTCTTTTTTAAATGGTTCTCGACTACAATAAGCTCTTGGTAAAACGTAGTAACATCGTAGTTTACAATAGTTTACAATCTCCCTCCGACGGTTTCCCGATCTCGCCGCAAAAAAATTTGTGTGTCTATTACATGATTACACGCTCGAATCGAATTTCCCGCACCTTTTCGAAATCGTTCTTTTTTTTCTTTTCGTAGCTCAACAAATACAAAATTGTTACTCGAATTTTCGCGTTGAATTTGAAGCTCTTCGAAGATCGATCGTTGATCGATCGATCGACGAGCGGACGCTAACAAACTGGTCACTTACAAGAAAAAACTAGCCACTCGTCGATCTCTCGATCGATCGATACATCTCGATAGGGATATCTCGATTCGAACGTTCACAATTGTCTCTCTCATTCGCTCGAATCATTCTCTCCCTCCCTCATCACGCTTTATCTCTCGCGAAAACAACGACACAGCTCTCTTTCTCTCGCTCTTTCATTCATACTTTGAGTGTCTCTCTGTGTGTACGTCTGTTTCTTTAGTATCTGTGTGTCATTCACTAATGAATACGTAAGTGTAAACAATAAATAATGCTTCTTTATTTCTTCTTTACTCGCGTTTAATCTATGATCCTTTGGTATGTCCACGCGAAGATCGATCGATCGATCTCCGGTTCGTCCTCTTCGGTTCAGCGAGAGGAATTAAAAAGGAAACGACGCCGCTAAACCGAGGGATCGAATTCGTTTTCTCGATCCGCTCGTTCCAGCTGAACCCTTCAATTCATTTTTTTTTTCTCCATCATTTTCACGCGAAAATCGCATCTCCGTTTACGCTCGTTTCCACTCTCGCGCGTTTCTACGAAGCGCAGCAACTCGCGTTTTCTCTTTAAATTCTAAAAAGGAGCCTTTCTTTCACGTGAAAATCCATCTTTTTCTCTCACTCTCTCTCCCTCTTTCTTTATCCTGTTTGCCGTTCCGAAAGAGAGAACACCTTTCGTTCAGTGTCGGTTTTTCACATCGCGTTTACATAAACATCAATGGATGCCGTCACGATCACTACCCTCCTCGTATTATAATAAATATAATAATGTATACTTGCTTTTGCACTTGTATTTTACATTATTTCATCTCTGATTAACTAATCGATACCTTATTGTCGTACGAACCGTTCGCTTGTTCTTCTACCGTCCTTCGATTCTTCTCTAAACCACCCCCGCACGCGCGTTGCTGTTCCATTGCTTATTCCGCTTGATATTTCGTTTCAAGATCACTTGGACCCGATTGACGGATTGTTTTTAGTGTAAGGTCGATTAGCAGACCTCGGGCTATCGACGCTGCATCCCCGGGGGTCGGGGGTCTTTGCTCTGCGATTTTGTCCCCACTCAGTTGTGAAGATTTGAAGAATTTAATTATTCTTATTCAGAGGGTAACGCTTTATTTTCAGTTTTATGATTGAAATTTTAAGAATTGCAAATTGCCTGTGGTTGAATAGAATACAGAGTGAATTGTGTATGAATGAAACGAGGAGCTTGTGTTGTTTGTAATTATTTATGAGTTAAATGTCTCTAACACTGAGGTTTATTTGAATAAAAATAAGAAGTGTAAGTACATCAATTTAAATTTTGAGTGTTTGACAATGAGTTGAACGAAATCATGACAAAGGAAAGAAACAAACATCGGTCAACGAAAATGAGTAATCGAATCGAGAGCAAAAAGCAACCCCCTGCTAAATCACCCTTCCCACATACACGTGCTACACGATAACATTCGTTCAACGTCCATCGACCACCCTCGTCAAAGACCTAAAACCTTTCACGGTTACACTTGGCCCTCTCTTAAACACCCCACAATACCTTCCGCGATTCCAAATTTTTGTTTCGTTTCTATCGATTTAAAACTCGCGCGGGCAACTCGCGTCGTTGCAATATAAAAAAACGCGTATACACACACGGACCCGAAATAGATTCTCTTAGTCTCTACGGTTGTTTTTTTTTTACTCATCTCTTATCGTTATTATTTTCTGTATTTAATATATTTATTTATATATTTATAGATTTTATATTTATAATATGTTCATTCGCCTACGTCTCGAACATACCCCCTTCGTTCATCCCTTAACCAGCTTAAGGTTTCGTTCGTCACGCGCGAAATCACTTTGTCGAGAAAATGAAAATTCACCCTCTAGTTTGTTCTTCTCGTGTTTATCTTCATCTCTGAATCTATCTTGTCGTTTTCCACCTGTCACCCTTCGATTCGAGACGAGGTATCGCACGTGTTACATAAATAGATCATCGAATACTTCTGCTCTTTTTTTTTTCTTCATTAACCCTCTGTTTTATTTGTTTTGAATTTTTGCGCGCATTCTGGCGACGCTAGTTGAAACAACAATCGTCGATCGATCGACTCCGGGATCGATCGACGATCGAACCCCTTAAACCGCTGGGGTTTTTCGCATATATTAAATAGATTACCAACCCCCCCACCCCCTAGCCCGGATCCCCTGACTAACTACCCTTCGCCTGATGCCAGAAAATGGCAATTATATTTATATATTTATATATTTATAATATATATAATATATCATTCATTTATATTTATATTTATATTCATATTTATATATTTATATATTTATATAGTATATATATAATTATATACTATGTCCTTGCTTTACGTTTTAGCGGGTTCTGTTTGCTCGCGCGTGTAACATAGCGTGTGTGTGTGTGTCCTTCGGTTCCCCATCTTTTCCATCCCCCCCAAGAAACCCACCCGTTTGGAATTTGAATTTTTCTTCTTTCCTTTAACGTTTCATCAACGATACGTCAGATATCGATGGTCTATTTCGTAGATAGTCTTTCGAAGAAATTGCTCTAATTAATCGCACCCATTTCTCACCCTCTCGTGTCAACAAAGAACGCTTTTACAGTATATATTTCTATAATAATCAATTATATCTCTCGTTACAATGATAAAAATCGCAATAATAATATAAATAATTGTAATAATAATAATAATAGCGACGGAGGTGACAATGGTAATGGTGATGACAATGTTATTCGTAATAATAATAATAATAATAATAATAATAATAACAATCGTGCGCGCAGAATTAAACATATATTTACAAGTTTATCGTACAGAGTTCCCTCATCGCGTCCCTTCATACCCTTTTTATCGTGATTTTCACCACTATTTCCCCTCCTCGAGTCGAATCTTCAGTTTCTGACAATGACAATTCTTTCTCCATTCCGTTTCTACGAAATATTTAAAAAACACTGCGAAGATTTTTCCTTTTCTCCTTGAACGACGATGGTCCATCTTGAAAACTGAATAGAATGACTTTCAATTGAAATTGTATATTGTTTTCTGTGTATTTGGAAGCTGGTTTTACTCGTTTCAGTTCTGAATCTTTACTTTTACTCCAAGTAACGTTAGATTAAATCCTCTAATCATTTGTGTTGTAAAGTTTTATAATTTTTGGTTTGATCTTCTTTCGCAAATTCAAATCTTTGAAACTTCATACCGATATGTATTCCTCCCGAACACTCCACAGATCTTCTCAGCCTGAATTTTCAAAAATCTTCGCAGTGTTCAAGCAAAGTTCCTTCGGCATTTCCAATAGACAAACGTTAGACTTAATCCCGTCGAAAAGCTCGTTCGAAAAGGTCGTAACATAGTAATCTGGTGTCCAACAACGGACGAGGAAACTTCCATGAAAAACTCGACGCTCGAAACCATCAACCCCCCTTTTGTTCGAGAACTTCAACCTCCATTGAAACTCGCACACGCCAACGTTCGTCCACGTATCACCATATCGCGTAACGAACCCGAATCGTGGAACAGCGACGCTTTTCTTATATTTAATTTAAACCGTTATTACAATAATATATGTTTACTTTGTACTATATATGATCTTATAAATCGACGTCCGCGACGCTCGCTTCCGTTTTCTTCTTATTCATTTTTTCCTCTTTCTCTTTCCATATTTTTTGGTACGATGAGTGTTGGCTTCCGCCTTTCAACCCTCCTCCACACCTTAACCCCCCCCCCCCATTTTCTATTTTTAATTAAACGTTCTTTATCCGTTCTATGTGTCGGTTTTGTTCTTTCTCGTTTCGTTGCATGCTGACCAAGTCGAAGTATAACGGAAACAACAGAACGTCGAGCGCGAGGAACCGAAAGAACGCGGGATAATTGTGTCTAAATAGAATAGATCTAAAAGTGTTTTTCATTTTCCTTTCATTTCTGCTCGCTATATATGGACGTTTTCAACGAAGGAATGTAGCATCGACTAGTACGGAATCGTTTGTACGCTGAACTCGAACAGGAACCACTTATTCCACCCCCAATTTCAAAGTCAAATAAATTAGTATGAAACAACTGAACAACTCCGTCTATTTATGGAGATTTTCTGTTAAATATTATTCGAACTTATTAAAAGGATAAGCAATATTATAGGAACGTCTATCACAAACTCAACGAACAACCCTTAAAATCTTTCTAAACATCCATAAATCTCAATAACCGATAAGGGTAGAAATTGCAAGGGGTGGAACATTACTCTTGCTCGATTCCAACAAAATCACGGTGGAAAAATAATATCCCTATCGAACGCAAAAACTGGCGTTTTTTCCACCAAGGAAATTGGCTCGCGTGCAAGCGGGAAACGCGAAAAGAAGCCTGCTCTTCGAATAACCATGCTCGTTCTTCTCCTCTTCATTCTTAAAAGTCTCTCTCTTTCTTCTTCGTCTTTTCTTCATTTTTAATATGTACAATAGCACAGCACAATTGCGGTACGATATATCGAGTGCGGTTCGCTAAAATCCTCTCATTTATTCCCTTTCTCACGTACCTTTTGTTTCACAGAGTTGGTCATTATTCGAATAAGAGTAACTTATTCGCTGATAATGAGTAATCTTTTATTCGGATAAAAGCTTATTCGATGCAGCGAATAATTTTAGAATAATTATCTAAATATCAAGGGTGTACTTTAAATTACGAGCCAAGTCTAGATCTTGAAAGTTTGCAAATAGATAGATATTGAAAACTGAATTCGGGACGTTTATTAGAATTTTTAGAATTACATTTAATTCACTGTGAGAAAAAAAAGATTAATATTTTCGTTGTCTTTCGACTTTTACCTCTCTTGAAATTTGAAAAGTCCAATTATCGACCCCTCAAGGCTCGTAATTTCCTGAACCCCCTTATCAATATACAAATTTATTCGAATAATACTCAATTCCGTTTTTTCACTCGCCCTCACGCATACCATATTCGATCCTCTTCGTTCGCTCGAACACCGGAAACCACTGATTCTCGCGAACGAACATCCGTTCTGCGCACACCATTTTTCTTAGTCCTCTTCAGCTTTGATTCGCGCAAACCAACGTCCACTCTGATATACAATGTTCGTTTACATACGTAGAATATAATATATCACTTGGCACGTGCACCCTCGACACGATGCCTCTTTGTTTCCTCTTTGTGTGGTGTAGTGTTATGTGTGTGTGTGTAGATTTATCTGTGTAACGTGTGTGTTTAAGAAACGAAGTTGTTCTTTTTTTCGCGTCCTTGTTCAGTTTTCTAAACGGTTTCTTTTTTTTTCTGGGTTAACGACCAACGAGGATACGACGAGTTAAATACACCCTTAGTTTTGGACCATCGATGTTTCACGAGAATTTGTTTGACCCTCAACACCCTTGCTTTTAGTTCTCTCTTTTACCCTCTGCCTATAAATTTCTTCTTTTCTTTTTTTTTTTTATTGAAGTTCTTTGGAAGGTGTTTAAAATGGACGTCGTTGCAATTATTAAAAGCCTGATCAGATCGTTAAGGGCTGGTTTTTTAAAATATGGCACTTAGAATTATCTACATGGTATTCGAACGACTCTTTGAAATATTCTTTGGTATATTTAATTTTATAAAATCCTTGTACTTTTTATATTTAATTTTGTTTATTTTGTGCAACGTTTCAATTTTATTTATCAGAAAGTTCTTCCAAAGAACCCGATGCGTGTCACTCGCAATTTTGACTAGATAAGAAAGAGGGGTGGTTCTTGAAGAGCCACCGTGACACGCGTGGACTAGAAGACGATTGAAAATCTTATTCTAATATGGCAAATTATGGCACCAAGTTACCGGAGAACTTTTGGATTGATTGTTCACTCGAAACATTATTCGAGTTACGTTTACAAGGGTTGAGATAGAATATTTTTAAATCAAACATCGATGGTCTGTGCGATTTGTTCGGACACGATTTCGAGATGTTCAACCTCCCTGTCCTGGAACGTAGTTTTCGTTTATTGCTTTTGTTTGTCAAATTAAGTTTTTTTTCCATTTGATAACCTCGACGACCAGATGGAATCGAAAGTTTCTTTTCCAACGTCGAAAGAAACTGGTACGTTGTTTCGCAGGACGTAGCGAGGCACCGTTGCAATATTCACGAATAAGCCTTTGCTTTCGTTAAAAAATTATCACAGTGACCGTGCTTATCAAACAACGCTCTAAACTCTGGATATAAGATAATTGTACCATCGTATGGTTCTTGCATTGCCTCGCATTCCGCGGATCTTTTAAAAAGTTACAAAATTTTTACCTAGTCGCAGATCTTAGAAATCTCTCCGAATTTTCAATGTGAATTTTGATTCGCACAGTTTAAAAATTTCATTTCTTGTAGGCTTCTAATTATTTTTATTTTTAACGTTTCAAACATTTCACATATAATGATAAACATAAAACAACAAAATCATACGGTTTAGTGAAAATAAATAAAAATCCTTTGGTCCTTTGATCGTTAATAATATCGAACAATTGATAAATAATACATTAATTTATCTGTAATAGTTGAACTAGTTGTTGAAAACAGCGAACAATATCGTAAATAAAATTCCGATTCAAATCGGACCGAAAATCTCCCCCCACCACGTCCTCGAAACGAGCCTCAGGCGAGCGAGATCGGTATTTATTTACATCTTAGATGGAAAGCAACGTTCTCAGTTCAGTGTGCGTGCGTCGTCGATCGACGAAGGTACGAAATCGCGTCCGTACAATAATCGGATTATCCTTTACGAGAAGGGTAAATCTTCTTCGGGTGACTCGTCGTGGTACTCCTCGTGGTCGGACGTGTGTCACAAAACGTCGCTTGGCTGCCGTTGCCCGATACCTATTGTAGGCGATAGCTGTCCCTCTTCGACCGCCACGGTCTTCGGGTCCTCGTCCTTCCATTTGTCCATGGAACGACGTCGAGCGTTCATGAAGAAGTTGCCGACCGTCGTCGGCTCCAGGCCCAACTGCCTGGCGATTGTCACCTGCATCTCCTTCGACGGCCTCTTGGTCTCCTGGAAAAAATCGTCATCACCTGTGAGTAATTATTTTAATTACGAGTGACAGGTTACTCCCTAGATACATCAAATAAATCTGAAATCAATACTATTTAAGAACCCTCGAGTACCTTTTAAATATATGTATGAATTCGATTACGATTTGAAAGGGTTTCCAGCAAAAGGAATATTTTCCACAAAGAAACATTCACTGTTCTCTCGGTTAAATTAATATTCATACACCGTCTCCATTTATAATTCCTTTTTCCTCTATTGTGTCTATCTCGTTGTGAGACAAGCTTAATAACCTTCAAAGCGAAGCTGTCGGTTACCGGAAACGACGTTAAGAAAAACGGTGCCCGTTGACGATGCTTACGATGGACAAGGTGGAGGGATAAAAGAGAATGGTAAACAATTTCTTCACATGCGGTAAGCGTTTCAACTGGCACGCTTTCTTCCTACGCAACGTTTCTTAGCCGGCGTAGGTCGATCAATAACGGACGCGAGCCGTACGGTATCGATTGCTCGAAGGAACAATTATTACGAACCGATGCAACCTGGACGCGTGCAACAGAATGCAACCATTAATCCTTTCACCCGCCCCCTGCCCGTCGACAAACACTCGGTCAACGTTTTATAAACACCGTCGCTTCTTTGGCATGTTTTCGATTAGAAAAATGACGGTTCGTTGAATGATAGTTGGTTTTTCAAATGATCCTTTTATAATAGTTACATGGAAGACTGTCGTTTGTACTGTTTTGAAAAAATTTTGAAATATTTTGGAAATTGTAAAAGTGAAGGAACCAAACGATACTGGGAATAGATGGTAAAAGCGTTAAACTATTTTCACTCGCTAAATTACTAACTGGAAAAGACAGCAGTGTGACATTTGAAGATCCCCGAGAGCGTATTGATATCCTGTCCTGGCTGTAATTCAGCGCGTGTAACGCAACGAAACGAAGGTTGCCGCCTCTGTTCGACGTACAGACATAGAAGCGTATCAATTGTTCGAAATACAGGACACTATCGGCGCGAGGATCGTGATTATTCCTTGACAGCCACTGTGAGGGCTTGTTGAGGATTGCATACGCGTGACGGGGTGAAGGGTGTCATTGAGCATCTCAGAAACGAAGAAAAATCCTTTGCGTTATTTTCTTCGACTTTTATTAACCTTAGAGATTCGATAGTTAGTTCGTCGAGGAAAGGACGATTTTCGTAAAGTACCTATAAGATCGATGAAACTTTGAAGTTCGAATAATCGTTGGGGAAAATGGAAGCGGAATGCGAGAAAGATCGAGCGGATGGCGTTAACTGGGCTAAGGTCAATTCGCAAACTATTTGGCATACTTCCAGAGAACAGACGAATACGCTTCTACTCGCTTTTCCCTTTTTTCATCCCTCTCCGCGCAAACGTCCACGTTAGTTTACGGTTAACCCTGTTATCGCGAATCGTCGATTCATTTTCCTCGCGATCCGGGGGGTGGGTTGTTTTGCGACGAAACGGAACCACTCGAAGGGGTTGCACCGGTTATTATGGCGCATCGATGGAACGCACGCGATCTATGTCGAGGTAATTTAATCGGAACGTTGGTAATTTTGTTAAACGAGAATTCGTTGAGAGCGTCTTCATTAACGCGGACAAAACACGAACCGAGGAGAAAGTTGGAAAAATCAGCAAACTAAAAGTAAGAAATTTTCTCTTTCGTTGGTGAAGTGGAAAAATAATAGAACTAATAATTTTGAAAAAAATCGAACCATGAGTAAAAAGCTTAATAGTAGTGTTTTAAAAGCAAATAAAGGAAACACCATAGACGAGGCGAAGGATGGTCCGTGTTTGACGAACGAAGGGGATGAATTTTCCGGGTTAGCCAGTGTCTTTGAGCATCCTTTTCCCCGGAGCAATCGGGACATTCAGGGCACGACGTGGCGAAGAGGCGGCCGGTATCGATCAAAACGTAAAGTTAAGTTATACAAGACTTACTTTAAAAATAGCCTGTAGAGTACGGCGCTGAAGGTCTGTGAAAACCAGCCGCGGTTTCTTGGGGGCGGGCTGTTGGTGTTCTGCCTGGTTCGCCATCTCGTCTTTCCTCTTGCATGCTAAAATTCAAACGGTCTTTTAATCCATTTATTCCACGAAAAAAAAGATAAAAAAGAAAGAGCCAGGGATATTGCAGGATGGTGCCAATCTCAACCGTAAAACGCAATTTAATAACTACATTTGGTATTACGTTTCGTGTTCGATACGCGCCACCCTCTACAATTTTTATTAACATAAAAATGAAATAATAAAGTGTATAAGCATAAAGAATAAAGGGTGAAGGTAAGAACTTGAGGTGAAACTATTAAATAGAATCGTGACTAAGGAATTTTTCAACGCGATTGTAAAACAATTGTTGAAGGGTCGAACACGAAAAGGCCCCCCGCGATCTGAGATCCACGCAAAGATTGTGCCCCGCAAAGAGTGTTTCATTCCGAAAGGGTGCGAACTAATTGGTAATTAGCGAAAGAAAGGCGTCTCGACGCGATTCAAGGTAGCCCCCGTTAAGTATCTGATTCTCAAGTGCAAAGAAGAAGAAGTAGAAAAAGGGGATGTTTCTTTTCGTGAGTCGTTTCAATTAACACTTCGCCGACGGGACGCGTAGACTATATTTGTTAAAAAAATTTCAAAGATCAAATTATCAGCGTATCGGTCTCCGGCAACGAAATGTTAAAACAACCCAAAAGCTAACTTCGAAAGCAAAGGAAAATAGACAGTATTATTCTCAAGATAATTTGATCGTACTTACTTCCGCGTTGTGGAATCTGTGCAGCTGAAAGCAGAAAAAAAAGACAAATATGAATCAACGACGAACTCGTTCATTTTGACGACCCTTTTAATTATCTCAATTCCTTCAAGGGTCGTCTTTTTAATTTTTTTTTTTTTTTTTTTTTCAGTCGAGTGTAATACATGTATGTTTTCTACGTTTTACTGTTATCAAGCGTGTCTCATTTGTTTGATTGTTATTATTGTTTTTGTCTGTCTGTTTTTGCTAGCTGCAAAATAATTACACTTTTCTTGGTAATTGCAGCCAAACAAAAACAATTATATGTGTCTCGACTTACAGATATAATACACACTGAAATATATTCAAAGGGTAAATATATATATAATAATGTAATAAACACGTACAACAAGTCAGGTATAATAAAAACAGGGGTTCGCTTGCATACCACGGGATATCTCTACAACTGATAAACATATCACTAAAGAAAAAAGGGTACCAACAAAATGGGCATCAAGGGGTAACACGTGTTTATGTATACTGTTGTGTTTACATGGTGTGAGACGATGCAAGAGCGTCAAGAGAGATGCATTTTCTTTGGAAAAGCGAATTGAGTTCCCATTGTGGTTCTCGTTTCGTGTTCCGAGTGACTGATGATGATGATGATGATGATGATAGTTGTGTGGCTTGTTTCGAATCTGAGTGGTATTACGTCTCGTTGAGCATACGCTGTTTTTTCTCTTTTACCCGGCCTCCACTTTTTTTTTCTCCTTGTTTCTCATTGGCCCGTTTCCAAAACGACGAGACAGAGAGCTGGTTTTTTTTGCCACGTATAAGGAAAAAAGAATTTTTGCACCGACGCGGACTCGAACTCCAAATGAATTATCATTAGTTTGATCAGCGATGAATTTCTATCGTGTGACATAAAGATTGATTTATGGAAATTTTAGGAAATTTTCCAAACGTTACTTTCCCGATCGAGAAAGTATACAGTTTGAAATTGTGATAACGCTCGTGTTTCAAATTAGGAAACTATTAAACGTTTTAATCATGGAGATAGGAAAATAGCAGTTTCCTAATTGCGAAACTCTCAAGTTTCCAATTTCCACAAGTTTCCACTAATCTTCTGACTTTCTAAGCCTCTAAATAGCCAATGTTCGTTTTCCAAATTAGCAAACTGTTCAGTTTCTAACTCTATAAGTAGGAAAATCCGAGTTTCCTAATTGGGAAATTCTCGAGTTACCAATTCCCTGACTTTTCTTCTATCTAATTATAAAATCTTCAATTTCCCGATTACCCAATTAGGAAAGTTCCAATACTCAAATCGTGAAACGTGTCAAGGTTCCAATTAAGAAACAGCCAATTCACAAGAGTTTCGAACTTGCTCTGCAATTAACCATTCCACCGGTCAATTTTCCTTTTCTATTTTTTCACTCGACTTCCTTCACGTTTCAAAGACTCTCAAAATATTAATTCGGTATAATAAATTGTCCGTGTGAAACAATCAGTCTGTCGATTCGAACGCTTCGCAGTCGATCGATCGAGCGTCGAATATTATCTCGAAATTGCCACGTAATCGCTGCTCTTTGCGACGTTATGGCGCATAATTGCACCATCAAAGAGAGGTGTGGGGAAGAGGGATAGAAAGAGAATAAAAATATATTGGCGAAAGAAGAAAAGAATCGAGAATGGGAGAAATAACGTTTACACGCGTACATCGTTTCCCCGGGCACGAATTCCGATCGACCGGCCGATATTAGATTAAATAACTCGTCAATTTTCCCTTTGTCCGAGTCTCGATCAGTCCTCGTTCGAAAGCTTGAAAATCGTTCGAATTTCTCTGGATAATAGGCCACCCTTTCGACCGACAGAATCGAATCGGTCCCACGACCACTAAAAAACGATCAAAATGAATTTTGTCTGCTCGAAGAAAATCATCGCGATCGAATGTGTTGCGAATTAACGCTTAGAAATGCGCCGGAAAATTTGCCAACATTTTCTTTTTCTAATTTCATAGTCATCCCCTGGATCTTTTCCCTCATCCAAAGCCTCTATCTATCGATGACACAGTATGATCGATTAAAAAACCCATTATAACAGCCACCTACCCCAATTTTCCTATAATTTCTGTCTAAACAAGAAACCTAGAGAAGAGAAAGTCAACGATTTCTCGATTCCTCCGTCTTTCGATGACAAAACCATGTGCAAACTGAAAAAAAGACACGCTACGATACGTTATCTTATCGAGAATCTTCAATTTTGAAACTAACATCTCGATTAAACTGCCATCGTAGTGGACGATCTCAAAATCCATCCCTTAATCGACGAGGAATCCCAATTTCTGTTGAAAACCTTCCGGTTAGTCGCGATGGACCGTCGATCCTCGAAAATGGAATGCCAGAATGGCAAAAGAAAAAGATATAGATGGGGATGAGCGTGGAAGGGGGTTGAAAAGGCAATCGCGTGCCATTAGCAAGCGGACCGATAACGAATGAAAGGAAGCTCGCGAAAAAAATGGCACCGGGAACAGGGACATCGGGAGCAACGGCTAAGGGGGGTGGGCTCGAAGGGGTGGACAGCCGACAGAGACGAAAAATTGACGCGTTCATTATTACCCTCGGGAGTTTTTTGGATCGAGAGAGGCCTCGATCGACTTGCGGACATCGCAGCGAGACATCCGCGTTTGATTTTTTCACCAATTGCATCCTCTCTTCTTACTCTTCTTTTTCTCTTTCATCCTTAAAATATCTTTTGATTTTATTTTTATTCAAAAGTCTGTGAACCATTGTATAGAATTTTTTATTTAAGTTTGCTAATTAATCTTATCGATAAGTCCATTAGCAACTTCAGGACGAAACTTTTTATTTAATTATAAGAAAAACTACAATTGCATTAGACTCGTTACGCGTTAACTTGAAGAAACGCTAAACAAACTCAAACGTGTGGGCATCCCTAAGGGGGTTATTAATGGACCAGGTGTACCACTTCTGAAGAATATAAATTATTTCACAATTACGATCCAGAAGTTGACAAAAGAAAGGTAACTTGATTACCGGTAACCCGATTCTATTACTTTTCTCCATCGATGGTCAATCGATCGTTTCTTACTTCCTGGATTATGAAAAATCTATTTCCAACCGAAAGATGGGTAATGCCGAAAGGAGAGGACAGATCGGTGACAGTTGGCTTCGAAGCAAGAAAAGACGGTAGCCAAAGAGAAAAGAGAAGGAGGTTAAAATTGTCAACTGGAGGAACGGTTACGTGGTGTCAGGCGTCATTGTGCATCCATCGCGGATAGAACTGGAAATGGATGCAAGCAAGAACCGGATGTCACGAGTGGATCGATCGAAGGATTCCAGAAACGGCTAAGTGGGCCAAATCCAGTCGGGCGCACAGCACGATAAAGCATTAACGAGCTCTCTCTCTCTCTCTATCTATCTCTTTCTCTTCTAACGTGTAGAAAATCTCTGACGTGGCCGATGCCGCGGAACTTTTCGGAAAATAATCCGCCGTCGCCACTTTGTGTGTTGGCCGTTGAAAAGCCGGCCAGTCAGACCACTTTGACGAGCGTCCCAGAGAGAGAGGATCAGGTCGGCTGGAAAAATTTCATCGAACCGTGTATCGAGATGCTCGAACCAACCTCTACTATCCACTCGATGTACCAAAACTGAATAATTCGACTTTGATGAAACCGTGTGTCGAAACATCTTGCTTCTATAGATTAAGTTTGATCGTAATTGTGCAACATAAGATGCTGAGATCTTACAAATTTTTCGAATCAGGATTGATTTCCTACAGAAGTCGCAATCGAAAAAATATTAAACCCCAGTCAGACTATCGAGATAAGGCAGAGTCAGCGCATCAGCAAACAGAAGAGACATCATAAAGCACGAAACTCCATTAAACGATGAAGGGAATCGGATTCACGTACGATCAGCCGGTAACCGATGGCGAGGACCAATCAAAAGGAAGTTTGTCAGGGATGCAACCGGCACGTAGACGTCTTCTTTATATAGGCGGATCCGGTGGACACGGCTCGTGTTCCGTCGCAGCCGCCACCCTCTTCGTATAACTCAAGAATGATTGCGTTTCGGGGAAGCAGCTTGGCGTCACGTGAACCCAATAGCTTTCTGCTATATAATAAAATAATACACGCAGAGAAGACAGCCGCGCATTTGCATGGGCCACGTGATACCGATACAATGCTCTTCGACCTTCTCCATCCCTTCTGTCCTTCTGTTTCACTATCGAGAACACACCGGCTGCGTTCTTTGAAGATTCTTACGATTCCGACTTTCTTTCCGATCCATTTTCGCGAAGAAGCCTTGCGAACTGATGATTTCCACAAGGTAATCGTCGTAAAACAAACTTTGCCAACCCTTTTACCACTATACTTGATCTAGAATTGTACATCCTCCTTTTTTGGGCTTCAGTTTTTTTTTTCTATCTCGTTACGAAGGGAATATTTAAGGGTTTAATCGTTGCGAGTTTATAGTTTTATTTTACGTGTCAAACTGGACAATTGTAACTCGATCTGGACGTTTTTAGAGAAATTTCCAGCTGCCCGGAAATTGAATTCCACTTCATTTCCGTTAATCCATCCCATCGCAGTTGCGTGTATTATCTTGATTTCGAAATTTATCTAACCGCGATTGAACGCTGGATACCTTTTTTTACCCTTCGAATTTTTAATAATAATCATCGATTCATATAGCTCAGCAACATTAGGTCTCTCTGTGGATTAGATGAAAACTCGTATCACAAAACGTGAGCCCTAATTAATCTTTTCTTTCGTGCAAATTTCAATATCCTTTTCCATGTTTCGTTTCCACCATATTTTCCTTTGAAAATTCATTTCTTCCTTCTGCAGATTCACTGGATTTTCATAATCTTTTCCTCTGCCTGATCCAGTCTTTAGACTTTTCTTCGAAATTAATGTGTATTTAATCCCACTACTGTCCGTCCTGGACGTACCCTTTCACCTTTACGAAATATGTTCTACAGAGATGAATGCAAGTGATGGGTGTAGGGATGGAACCTCCCTGTTA